GCCTGCGCCTCACAAGGACAATAGCAGGAACAGCTAACTGTCGTTAAATACTTACTGCACGCCGCGCCCTGTACCAAACGGATCATGGACAAGAGCACCGACTGGAGTCAGACTGAGGATTCGAATCTCACACCACCTCAACCAGCGATTTCCCCTTGGGCAAGTTACTCACCTCGATATGCCTCAGTTTCCCCATATGTAAAATGGGGACGCTAAGAATAACTATCTCACAGGTTGTTGTGTGGATTAAATGAATATTCATAAAGTGCTTATTGTTTCATTGTCCTCTTTCCTACCCATTTCTCCACCCAGAGCCCTCCTCTCAAATCTCATTCCTCACAACCCTAGATCTTAGACTCGCCTCCAGACGCTAACCCTTTCTCCCAGGGTACTTCTCCCCAAAACCTCTCTGGCCTTGTGTACCCTTCAAGCCCCAGGTCTGTAGATTTTCCTCATCCCCAGGCCATTTCTTCACTCAGTCATTTATCCAACAAACATTTTTCTGACTCCGTCCTCCATCCCAAGCTTTGTGCTGGACACAGATGATACGGAAGTGAACTGGCCATGGCCTCTGTCCTCAAGGAGCTCCTAGTCTCAAGCAGAGACAGACAGAGAAGAAAAGGCTTCTTGTATACAGCACATTAGACAATGTGGAGACTGGGATGGGTGCATTACAACTCAGATGAAGGAACTGCCTGGTGACATCACAGAAATCTTCCCAGAGGAGGTGGCATTCAGGTGGTGAATGGACAAATAAACTGATATATCCATCCGGTGGACTATTATTCAGCAATAAAAGGGAATCATCTATCCAGCCGTGAAAAGACAGATAGGCATATTGCTAAGTGAAAGAAGCCAGTCTGGAAAAGCCCCATACCGTATGATTCCAATTGTATGACATTCTGGAGAAGGGAAACTTATACAGAAGGTAAACAATTATGGGTTGCCTGGGGTGTGAGGGGTAGAATTGAATAGGTGAAGCATAGAGGTTAGTTTTTTCTTTTTTTAGGGCACTGAAACTATTCTGTGTGATACTGGTGAATACAAGACATTAAGCATTTGTCAAAGAGTAAACTTTAATGTACGCAAATTTTAAAAATCATTTAGGAGGTCAGGGGATTCCAGGATGGAATGCAGAAGATGGCAAAAGAATCGAGCTGTATTACAAATATATGAAACAGTTTCACTGGAGGGGGTGGGGGGTAAGGTGTGAATCTGGAAATGAGTGGAGTCTGGAAGAATAAAGGCAAAAGGAACTGTGCATAAGCACTGTGCTCTAGTCAATGAACACATTCCCTTCATCACTTCATCACGGGGTGGTACCGCATCGCAAGGTGTGGGGTAACAATGTTGCAACCACTGCGCATGTACAGAGGAATTGAAAATTAAGTAAATGTAGGGTGCATGATTCCTCACTGTTGGAATGAGAAATTACAGGTAAGCAGGGGAGGGGCTAGAATGATCCATGTGGTAATGGATTGGAGTTGGAGACGTCAGCATGAGCTCATGTTTAGCTTAAGATGGATACAGTTGGTTACATACAGAAATATTTAAAAATGTATATAATCACAGGTTAGTGTCCATACGTATCCCCCCACTCTATTTGAGGCCTAGAAGGAACCTAGTGCCCAGATCTTGGTTTCTAATACTGTTCTCCAATAAAATGAACTAGAGTTCCTTGGAGAAATAGCTGATTCTAGGATCAGGGTGGGAAATATACAACATGCTCCTGGAGCATCTGGTAGGGTCAGAAAGCAAGAAAATGCAAAAAACCCCCCAAAACACCACAAACCCAGACCCCCACAATGATGGGCGTATGTCAAAGGGACACAGGAGCCAACTAAAAGATCTTCTAAGGACCAAAGCTGGAGAAATTTGAACAAAAGAAAATAGTACTGAGTTACAATTTGTATAAAATAAGTTCTACGAGCCCCTACTGATAAAAATAGATGATTGAATAAATAAATAAGTGGGGGAGAAGAGACAAATCGGTAGGGAAGGATTCCAGGGAATTGATGTAGAGATTCTGCCCATAATGAGGATTATAATCTCTCACCCCTCCAGTGTGGGCTGTGCTTCGTGACTCCCGGAGAAAGAAAAAGAGTAATTTTGTAGTTCAGAAACCTGACAAACATGACCTCAAGCCAGGTGACCAAGGTCGACATCAATAGTGACGTCATGCTGATAGTATGTATGCGCCCTTTATATCATGGGAAGGAAGGGCACTTCATCTCCATGGTCTTCCTCCCCCAACCCATAATCCCAGACTGATCATGAGAAAAACATCAGACAAATCCCAATTTCGGGATATTCTGTGAATTACCTGACCAGTCCTCCTCAAAACTATCAAGATCATTAAAAAACAAGGAAAGTCTGAGAAACCAGAACAACCAAGAGGAGCCTAAGGAGACTGGATGCCTAATGATATGTGGTGTCCTAGACGGCGTTCTGGAACAGAAGAAGGACAATCAGGGAAAAGCTGATGAAATCTGCATAGAATGTGGACCTTAGTTCACGGCAATGGATCAGTGTTCGTTCATTAACTGTGACAAACGTACGGTTCCAATGTCAGATGTTAACCAGCACAAACACCCACTGTGTTTTAGACACCAGGAGCAAAGCAGCGACAACTGTTCTCATTCAAGCCACTCCCATTTCTCCCTCGTGTGATGGTTAATTTTATCTCGACTTGAGTGGGTCACGGGGTGCCCAGATATTTGTTCAAACATTATTCCGGGTGTGTCTGTGAGGGGGTTTCTGGATGAGACTAACACCCACTGAACTGGTGGAGAAAGTAAAGCAGATTGCCATTCCCAGTGTGGGTGGGCCTCACCCAATCAGTTGAAGATCTGAATGGAACAAAAAGGCTGGGCTGACTGTCGAGCCGCGACATCAGTCTCCTCCTGCCCTCAGACTGGAACTTACATCATTGACTTTCCTGGTTCTCAGGCCTTCGGGCTTGGACTGAACCTACATTGCCAGCTCTCCCTGATCTGTAGCTTGCTGACATAATTGATGAGCCAATTCCTTACAATAAATATCTTTGTACACACACAGACACACACATCTATTGGTTCTGCTTTTCTGGAAAGCCTTGACTAACACACAGGAGAAGGTGGGGGTGGGGTATACAGGAACTCCCGGTGCTATCTGCTATCTTCAGAATAATTCTGTCAACCTAGAACTGTTCTAAACGAAGATAAGTGGATGTAATATCTTGATCTGGGTGATGGTTGCCTGGGCGCATGTGCTTGTAAAAATTCATTGAGCTGTGCGCTTAAGATTTATGCACCTTACTGAGTGTATGTTATACTCAAACTATCTTAAATGGACTTAATGTAAAAATCTGAATTTACAGTTTCTCTTGGAAAACCAGCAGATCTTGTAGCTCCGGGCTGCTCCAACTGGCAACGGTCGATGGAGCTGCGACAGGTGCCCCGTTTAGGTGGGGAAGGGGCTCTTGGTTCAGCACAGTGTGCACCTGCCCGCTCTTCCTTCCCAGCCCTGGTCCTGGGTCCAGCTGTTGTCTGTTGGGACCTTCTGGGCTAGAAGCCTTTTGGGAGTGGGAGGGCATGTGTGAGATTTGGGGGAGCCGTGGGCATTTTGGTGCCAGCACACACACTGCAGCCAATTAAGACCATCCCGCCAACCGCACCCCCGTGCCCCGCCCCAACCACAGAGCCCGAGAGGCTGGGGCCAGGGGGTAGTGGGAGGCTGACTGTGAGCGGGGTTTGGTCTTCCCCTACGCTCACCCATCATTACCGCCGGCCCCTGCAGAGGGGAGGCAGTGCCGTCTGCGCCAGCCGATGGAGGGCAGTGGGAGGGAGCTTGGGCCGTGGCTCCCAGAGAAGCTGCAGTGTTGGGGCAGTGCCTCCTCATCCCTGCCTGACTGGCTGGAGAGATCCCCTAATTGAGGATTAAGGATTAATTGGAATCTGCCGGGCGAGTGATGCTGAGGCTGCTGCAGCCAGCCCTGGCACCTCGGCGTCCAGGCTCAGGGCTGGGCGGGGCCCTGGCAGCCGCCCACCTGCTCTGTCCCAAGGCCATCTTGTTGGCAGCAGTGATGTGAGGACCCGGCACAAGTGCTGAAAGCTCCCACCCCTTCTTGACCAGGAGGTCAGGGCCCCTCCTCCCTCCAAGCAGGCGGCAGCGGTGGCGGGTCAGGCAGTGCTCTGCGGACCAGGCCTTTGCTGTAGAGGCTGAGATGCGTCCACTCTGACCCTGAGGCACCTTCTCCTGTGGGCACTGTGATTTTAGAGGCCCTGGATCCGGCTGTAAATCCCACCTCCTCTTCATCCTAATTGCGTGTGATTTTATGCCAGGCCCTCATCCTCCTGCAGCCTTCTGGTACCAGGCAGGGGGGCTGGATTAACCTGGGGGCAATGGAGGATCATGGCCAGTTCCTAAACAGGAGTGTGACAAAATGCAAATGGCATTTTAGAAAGAATAATCTGGCAGCGTGTGCTGCATGGACTGGCGGGGAGGCTGTGTGGCCCCTAACAAGCCGGTTAGACTCGGCTTCTCGGTTTCCTTGATCTGGAAAATGGGGCTAAGAAGATCACGGCAGGGTTGGAGTGAGGAGACGTGTCATTTGGGTCCCCCAGGAAGCAGACACTGAGCTGAAGGTGAGAATGCAAGAAAGAGAAAGAGCAGGGAAGGAGGCCTCGGGGAAGAGCTCTGTTCTGCGGCCGGATGACCACGCCACGGCTACCCCAGGGGGCTTGGAGAGAGACCGCCTAAGAGAGGAGCCTTGCATTAGGCAGAAACGTGCGTCCTCGCCCCCGCTGTGCTCAGTCAGTGCCTGGGGGCTCCTAGAAACAGCGAGGTGACAGTGCAAAAGCTGAGGTGTATCCCAAAGGGGCCAATGGCCAGAGCTTGTCAGCTAACGAATTCCTCCCAGCTGACCGGCAAGTTCTTTCTGGAAGGGAGCTCTAAGTAGCACCCCTCCGAGAGCAAATGAGATCCAGCTTGGGAAAAGCCCCCAAGCACTTGCGCCACCCTGCAATGTCATCCTGGATCTGTCAGGAGCTATTCACAGGATGAGGGGCTGATGCCCACCCAGCTCTGGCAGAAGCGAGTTGGGTTTACTCATCCAGGGATGTTCCCCCACACTTGCTCAGGGCAGGGCCCAGGATCCGGAGAGGGCCCCTGTCCACCCGGAGTTCACAGTCGAGGGGGCTTGTGACCCAGGACTTAACTTTTGGAGGCCAAATACGGGGTCCTCCAGGACAAAGAAGTGAGAGGTGGAGGCCATCTCCCCAGGCCCGAAGATACTTTATTGTCAGAAGAACAGGCATGGGCAAGGGGGCTTGATGGAGGGGTGCGCATGGGGTGAGGGCAGGCAAAGGCATTGAACACAGGCAGGGGGTGGGGAGGAGTGGTGGAGGGTCCCAGTTGGAGGCAGTGGGCTTCCAGGGACACACTGGCAGGCAGTGGCTGTGGTCCCAAGTCCTGTCTGCTGCCTCCAGCTTCTGTGCAGGCTCAGCGAGACATCATTCGCACAAACTCTGCCAGGACAAAGCCAAGGTTTCGGGTCTGCTCTCTGGATCCCAATAGGAGTGAAGCCAATATACTGGCCTTGAAGTGGGAAGGAGTGCAGCCAAGGGCAGGGCCTGCGAAGGAGTCCCCTGGATCTGGTAGGGAATAATAGGCCTCTGGGCTAGGAAGAGGGGCTTTGTCTCAGGGACAAAAAAATTCTTGTAACCGAACCTATTTTCCTCTTTGCTTTGGTTGCTAGGAAGCTCAGGAACAACTTTGAAGCCTACTTCAGGGAATTTCTACATACTGATTTTCCTAGGCTTCCTATTATTTATTCCTTGTTTTCCCTCTGTGGGAATGCAGTGCAGAGGAAGAGCTGGGTTCTGGTCAGGATACCTGGATTCATGTCTTAGTTCCGTCCACTTCTTTTGCTAAGCAGTGACACTTTCCTAAAAACTGACTGTCTTTTCCTGCTTATGGGGATAATAACAGTTCCTTTCTCCTGGGTTCTCGTGATAATTAAGTGGGAGACAACGTAGATGTGCTCAGCACAGGGCCTGGCACACCGCGATAATGCTCCTTTTGCCATTTCTTTATCTGTTAAAAACCTTCCCGGGCGTGTGGCGCCGAGCGTGGCGGTACCTTCAAAGTCGATCAGGCCGTCCCCGTTGAGGTCAGTGTCTTGGAGGATCTCGTCCACCTCCCGCTGGCTGAGGCGCTCCCCCAGCAGAGCCTTGAGGGCCGCCCGGAGCTCACCTAAGCTGATGCAGCCGTCCCCGTTGGTGTCGAACTGCGGTGGCGTTGGGCGGGGCACTGGGTCACCAACCCGATCACTCACTCACTCACTCCGCCCCGGCCCGCCCTCCAGCCCCGGCCGCACCTCCCGGAAGGCATCCCGCAGCTCGCGCACGCCGATCATGTCCGCCGTCTCTGCCAGCAGCTTGGGGCCCATCAGCTCCACGAAGTCTTCAAAGTCCACCTTCCCGCCACCTGGGGGCCACGCCCATCAGAGACCCCACCCATCAGAGACCCCAGGCCAGCAGAGGCCCCTGCCCAGCCCTGGCCCTCTCTCTTCTTCCCCCACCCCTCCCCTCTTCCCCTCCTCTCCCCCAACCTGAGCCTCCTCGGACCCCACCCCCACCCCCCCGCGTCTGGACCATCTGTGTTTCACGATGGCTTTCCCTAATTGTCCTGAAGAGTTCCGTTGGGTCCAAGTCCTAGCTCCAATGACCTGGCTGTGTGACCTTAGGCAAGTCACAGAACCGTTCAGAAATTCAGTGTCCTCATCTAAAAAATGGGGATGATGGTCCTTGTCCCACCCACCTCACAGGAGGTGGTGAGATTCTCTGGAGGCAGAGACCTCACCTTGAGAATGACCAAGGTACCGGGTTCTGGGGCCAACCTGTGTGGCACCTCAGTTTCCCAGGCTGCCCAGCTGCCTGGCCATGGCCATGGCTTCTGGAGAACCGCAGGTGGGGGGGGTCTGAGGCACATACTGATCTTCTGTGAAATCTCGATGAGCTCCATCTCGGTGGGCATGTAGCCCAGTGTCCGCATGCAGGCACCCAGCTCCCGGTAGCCGATGTAGCCGTCCCGGTCTCGGTCAAACTCCTGGAAGGCGGCCTGCAGCTCTGGCGGGCAGGGCAAGGTCAGTCCTTCTCTCATGTGCCCCTGGACCCCGGCCTGGACCAGCGCAACCTCCTCCCCTTGGCCCAATTGTTACCTCCTTCTAAACATCAGTTTCTCTTTGCTGCCTCAGGGCCTTTGTGCATGCTATTCCTATAATTCATTCTTTCAGCAAATATTTGAGGATCATCTACTATGTGCTGAGCTTTACTCTAGGTACTGAGGATATGGCGGTGAAGAGAGAGAGAGAGAGATAGAAGAAGGAAGGAAGGAAGGGAGAAGGAGGGAGGGAGGGAGGGAGGGAGGGAAGGAAGGAAGGAAGGAAGGAAGGAAAGAAGAGGGAGAAACATCCCTGACCTCATGGAGCTCACATTCTGGAACACTCTCCCCTCCCCTTTGGTCCTTATGTCACCTACTCCCGGAAGTCTTCCCTCTAAATTCTGTCCCTTCCTGCCCTCGAGAGCACTTAGCACCCTTTGTGTTTGTGGTTGACTTATCGACGCCTGTCTCCAGAGGCCATGGGCCATGTCTGTCCAGTTTACCGAGGCTCCCAGTGCTCAGCACAGGGCCGGGCACACAGTGGGCACCAGGGGGTGTTTGTTGAATGAACAAATATAAAAGTGGCTCGTGACCACCTGGCAAAGGAGACCAGGGAACCGACAGCTGGAGGTTCTGTCACCCCTCCCTGCTCAGTCTTGTTCCCATCTCCTCCAGAGAGTCCCCTGCGGCCTTCTTGATGCTCCTAGTTCCTCCTGGAGACTGCTGAGGCCCCCGTCCGAGACCACCCCACCCTGTGTGCCCCACCCTATGCCCACCCTCCCAGAAACCCTAGTTCTTTCCCGAACCCTTTACCTTCGATCTCCTCTGGCCGCAGCTCCCGGTCCTGAGGGGGCACAGAGGGGTTAAGAATTCCCTGAACCACCCAGGCACCTGCCCTCTTCCTTCTTGTTCTTTGGGGCTCCCCACTCAGCCCCCCACAACATGCATGCACAAGGCCTGTGTCTGTCCGACACTGCTCAGCCCTGGCTCCTCCCATGCACTCCTGCTGACTGGCGTGGGTGTCTTGGGTCCCCCCTTCCCTGCCCCTGCCCAGACTTCTCCCAGGGCCTCCTCCCCCAACCTCCCTCCCACCCCTTCCCGTCTTCTAGGGCACAGGGCTCCACTTGCCAGAGGAGGGTCTGGCGTTGGGCAGAACCTCAGGCTTGACCCTTGGGACCTCAATGTCACTATATGTCTCTCTTGTTCTCTCTCTGGCCCTCTCCTGGGGGCCCTGCCACCTCCCTGCCCATCTCCTTGGTGGTTGTCTCTGAGGTTTCTCTGGGTCTCTCTCTGCCCTCTCTTCTCTCTTCCCTGGCATGTCCCCGGGGTCTTTCCCAACTCTGATCTGGTTTCTGTTTCTCTATTCCTCTTGGCCCCCCGACCCCCGGGTCAGTGGGCCTTTGCTCTGATGTCCCCATCAATCCTCTCCCCATTACTCAGGGAGAGGCAGAGCGAGGGGGCAGCAGGCGGGCGGCCGTACATACGAGCTGGGTGACGGCGATGCTGGGGCGCAGGAAGATGCAGGCGGGGCCCACCAGCCTGTTGAGCACCGCGTAGCCCTGGAGGCCCGGCCTGGGGCCCCCCTGATCCTCAGGGCTGGGCCTGGGGCCGGGGCTGTGGTGGGAGCCCCCTGAGGGGCAGCTGGGCCACTGCCAGCGGTCCTGCGGCAGAGCCGGCCATGAGCTGGGGCAGTGGCCACTCACCCCCTCACTCATCAGCCTCTCCTGTTATTGGAACCCAGCACAGGACAGCAGGGGCCCTCACCCATCAACACTAGGCTGGAAGAGTCTACCCTTTTCCTGTTTGGCTGGGCAAACCGAGGCCCAGAAAGGACAAGGGACTCAGCCAAAGTCACTCAGAAAGCCAGTGGCAGAGTGGGACCTTGACCTCAAGCCCTGTGCCTCCCAGGTCAAGACTGACCAGCAGGGAGCAGGGACGCCAGTAGGGACGGGGCAGCTGGATGGGCAGCGAGGGGCCCGAGGGGCTTGGCAGGGGAGGCCCAGTGGTCCACAGGAGCCAAGGTCAGGATGGGCCAGAGTCGGGGGGCTTCCAGGGAAAACCTCAGTCTAGGATGGTGGGAGCCAGCCCCTCCATCCCACGGCTGTGCCCTCCCTCTCACCCCATCCCAGCCCTTACCCAGGGCTCTGCCCACCGCGCCTGACACTTCCAGGGTCCAGCCCAGCCTCCTGGCCTTGACTTCTCCCCCCTTAGCCCTCCTACCTTGGGTCCCCGATGTCGGGGCCGCTTGGCACAGTTTCCCATGGGCCCCTGAACCATGCTAGGCCTGGAGTCCGGGGGGCACCGAGGGCTGGGCCTCACTGCATGCTGCGGGCTCCCGCCAGCCCCCAGCCACTCCCAGTGAGAGTCTGGGAGCAATGCAGGGGATTTTCCTAGGGTTTTGTGGGCAAGATCGGGGGCGGGTGGGCAGGCGGGGAGCCCTGGGCACGGGGGCTCGGGTCCTAATCCAGGATTATCTCTGGGCATCTCTGCTGGTGAGGGGGGCCACTCAGGGCCCAAGGCCCCCTGGAAGGCACAGCCTTCCCATGCTCACCCTGAGGGTCTTCCAGACACCCCCCCCCAGCACCCTTCTCCCCCAACCCCTGCCCCTAATCTCTCCCAATCAGGAGAGCTCTGCTGTCTTCAGAAGCAGGGCCTGGACCTCGGAGCAGGGAACCGGGTGCCTGGGGTGCCAGGGCGGCTGGGGCATCTCTCCCCTCCTAATGACAGACGATACCGGGTGGTATGAACTTGGCAGACCCTCCCCCACTGCCTGTCTTGGGAGAGGAGGCAACCTCGGCCCAGCCCAGGAGGCCCCTGGCCCTCCCCTCGGAGCACTGCCCAGCCCGCCTGCCCTCGGCAGTCCTGCCTGGACCAGCCCCCCACTCTTGCGCTCAGGTGAGGAGCTGAAGGGGTCTGACTCAGGGTGCCATGGGCTGGCAGCAGGGCTCACTGAGGACTGAAGAAGGGAGGGACACCAACCTCCCTCCTGGGCAGCTGACCGACTGACTGACCCCTGCATCAACATGCATGTCCGGGGTCGCCTCCCTGGGCTCGGCCCTGGGTCTGTCCTATTGGGCCCCAGTGGGGTGTGGGGTCCCTGCTGTTCCCTCACCATCCCCTCAGTTGAGGGTGGCCCCACGCTCCTGTCCCATTTACCTGCCCATAGGCCGCCTGCACCCGGGCCTCGAGCTCCCGGAGGAGTGCCCGCCGCCTGGTGGCTGCTGGGCTGGCAAGGGCCTGGCTGGGCCCTGAAGTGCCGTCAGCGGGGCTGGGGTCGCCCATGGGGAGGCTGCCATCTGCCGGGCCCTGGGGAAGGGCCATGGAGACCAGGGCTTGGCACCGCCTGCCGGCTGAGGGACACCGCCCCACTCCGGTCACTTGGGTCTTCCCATTCCTGTGGGAGGGTGGCTTAGTGGGCCACTGTGGGTGTGGTCCCACAGGGTCCCCGCTGCTCTTCTCCCTGTTCCTCCCTCCATGGACTGGTAGGGTCCAAGCCCCCCAAGTCCCATATCTTTCCTGACTCTCCATGCCCCTGACACAGCCCCTCCCTGAAACTCTAGCCTTGCCCCCACCTCGCCACCCTCCAGCCTTCACGCTGGCCACAGACTGCGCCCTGGAGCTCCACCGGCCCGTCCTTGCAGACCCCTAGTCACCTGGCTTCTCTCTCTCATGGTCTCTGTGCTTCCTCATATCCCCTCCTGCCAGCATCTCCCACCCAGCTTCTGCTGACCTCCAACCTCCAGCTTCTCAGGGGAAAGTGGGGAGGTGGGCCAGCAGCCCCTACTGGCCTCTCGCGCCCCCTTGTTATGCCCTTGGGCCACTTACCGCCCAGCCGTCTGCTCCTTACCTCCCAGAATGAGGTCAGTTGTCCTGCCCCGGCCCTGCTCCAGGCCCCTCATAATTTATTCACCTGCACCCCACCCCCCAGCCTTTATCCAAGGGAACCAGATCCTGCCAGACACCTGCCACCTGAGATGGTGGCTCTGGCCTCTCTCTCAGCCACAGGTGGCCATCCATTCATGTATTCCCTTTGCAAACATTTGAGGCCAACTGGGACCCAGTCCTGGGCTAGCTGCTGGGGCTCACACAACTGACCCAGAAAAGGGCCACCAGACAGTCTCCAAGTGCTTGGGGACACTGACCCGAGCATCAAGGAGGCTTCATGGAGGAGGTGAGGGTATAGGGCAACATTCTATGCATTGCCCACCAATGTCCAGCCCGTGCTTGGCCCTGGGCGAGCACTGGGGTCCATGGAAGGCATCAGCCATGGACTTGGAGTGTCCCAGGCACTGGAATCCCAGCGGGTATGTTGGGTGGAAGCCCTTAGGAGGGAGGGAGGGGTCAATAGCCCCTGGAGAGGGGATGAGTTGCAAAAGTTTGGAGAAAATTTCAGAGGGGCTGAATCTTCAGCAAATATATGTGGAGCACCTGCTATGTGTCTTCCTGAGCGCTGGGAGCCAGTCCCTGCTTCCTGGAATCTTCCAAGAAGTGGGAGGTGCACGTTCAGCAAACTCCAAATAACAGTGCAGGGAAGACCCCAACAGGCTGTCCAGAGGGAGGAGAATGGGGACCTCGTTGTGACTAAGGGGCTGAGGAAGTGACATGTGAGCCAAGACCAGAGGGATGAAGGGAGGGACCGAGTGAAGGGAGAGGGTGGCCACGTGGCAGAGGGAACAGCCTCCACACAGCCCTGAGAGGCTGTGAAGATCTGAGGAAAAGCCAGAGTTGAGAGGTGAGTGGACGCTGGCCAGGTGGTCAAGGTTGGGAAGGGCTCGTTGCGACCATTCATGCTGACCATGTGATGAGTGATTCCGTGTCCAAAGAACCATCTAAGAAGGTGGGAAGTGGTGAGAAATGTGTGTCCCAAAGTATAAGCCAAAGTCGTTGAGGCCATAACTGGTCAGGGTATAGTGGGGGGAAGAGTTTTCAATCGAGGAGCAAAGGGTTTGTGTCTAGGTTCAGAAAGCCTTGCTTGGAAATCCTCCCTGGCTTGTGTTCAGTGAATAGCATCCTAGAACATTCATCTTGGTGGCCTTGACTTGCCCAGCCTGACCTAGCCAACCTTGAGTCCCAGCTCCAGTGTCCAGGATGTCCAGGTGGATCAGCAGTTGACAGATGAATGGATGGATGGATGGTTGGGTGGACAGGTGGGTGGTTGGATGGAGGGGTGGATGATTTGACGGATTGGTGTTTGAATGGTTTGTGGTTGGAAGGATGGGTGAAAGGATGGATGGATGGACAGGTAATTGGATGGACAGATAGGCGGATGAATAGTTGGGTGAGTAGATGGGAAGTTGGATGCATGGATGAATGGATGGTGGATGGACAGGTTGATGGCTGACTGATGGAAGAATGGGTAGATGATTTGATGGGCTAGTGGTTAAATTGTTGATAGATGGATGGATGGATGATTGCATAGATAGATGGTTGAGTGGATGGTTGAATGAATGGATGGATGGATGAAAAGATAGATGGATAGACAAATGGAAGATGATTGGGTGGGTGAATAGGTAGTTGGCTGGATGGGTTGGATAACTGGATAGGTGGATGTTTTGATGGACTATTGGTCAAAAGTTTGGTTGTTGGATGGATGGATGATTGGGTAAATGGGTGTAGAGATGGATAGATGGCTGGGTGGATGGACTTCTGGCGAAGGCATTATATTCTTCATTAAAATTGTCCATTAGGGTGGAGACCATGTCTTACCTATTTCAGTGTCTCCCGTGATGTCTAGCCCACTCATTTCCTGATACATACTAATCAACCTGTGAATGAAGACTTGTGTCTATCTATCTCGCCCTAATCTGAGCTGTGATTCCTCTGACGGCAAGATGATGGCTCCTTCTCCACCCTGTTCCCCACAAGCCAAACCCAGGCTTGGCACCTGGTAAGCACCATACACAGAACCATGTTGAGATGCCATTTCACACTCACTAGGATAGATCGCTAAAGTAAAAGACAGACAATAAGGACTGTTGGTGAGGATGTGGAGAAGCTGCAACCTTTATTTGCTGCTTTATTTAGGTTTATAAAATGGCGCAGCCACTTTGGAAAAGAGTTTGGCGTTCCTCAAAACGAGTTACCATATGACCCAGCAGTTGCACTCTTAGGTATATACCCAAGGGAATTGAAACCATAAGTTCACACAAAAATTTGTACACAAATGTATACAGCAGCATTACTCATAGTAGCCCCAATGCAAAACAACCCAAATGTCCATCCAGGCATGAGCAGGTAAACAAAATGTGTGTGTCCATACAATGGAGTGCCATTTGTCCATAAAGATGAATGACGTACCGAAACAGGCTACAACATAGGTGAACTTTTCATAAGTCAAAGCAGCCAGACACAAAAGGCCACACAGAGTATGATTCCATTTATCTGAAACATCCAGAATAAGCAAAGTCATAGTGACAAAACAGATTAGTGGTTGTCAGGATATGGGGGAAACGGGAACGAGGAGCGATTGCTAACGGGCACAGGTTTCTTTTGGGGATGACGAAAATGTTCTGCAATTAGATAGCGGTGATGCTTGCACAACTCTGAATATCCTAAAAACCACAGAGTGTACACTTTATAAGGGTGGATTGTATGTAGCCATAAAGCTACATAAAAAATAAATATATGTTTAAAAACCTGCCGAAGACAGGTGCTGATGTAAAGGACTGGAGATGGGGGATGGGCACAGGGAGGCGCTGGCCTCCTGGCCCAGGAAAGCTGTGCTGCTGGGCCCCAGAGGAGGAGCCCCAGGGTGGCCACAGAGCTCGACCACAGGCTGCGCCTGTGAAGCAGAGGACTGTGGGTAAAAGCAGCCACCCAGAACACCACAGCACAGCGCCAAGCCATCCTGGGTGACAGCCCACCCAGGGGACCTGAGCATGATGGCTGGAGGGTGTGAGGGTGTGATGAAGGAGGCAGACCCACTGGAAGGCAGTGTGTCTCCGCTCTCCCAGGTCTGTGATGCTTGTGCCAAAGGAAGGGCTTGTGTGCCCCTGGCCAGAGCAGGCAGGTGAAGGCACCTGTCTGAGCCTCGGTGTCCTCGTCTGTGTAATGGGAACGAGACCCCTTCCCTCCCAGGGTGTTGTGGAGATGAAATGAGACTGTTCATAGGAAAGCTCTTTGTAAGCTGCTAAGTGCTGAGCAGATGTTCCTCCAGCTGTGAGTGAGGGATGAGAACCCGGTTCTGGTGCCACCTCCCCCACCGCCTCCCAGCCCCACGCAGCTGTGGCTCAAGTGGGGCTAAGAGATGCTCCTGACCAGACGCTGTCTGGGTTTTTCCCACGCTTTCGATGGGCCGTTCTGCTCCTGAGAAAGATGCCGTCCTCTCTCCTTGTGGTTCCGACAGGCCCGTGCTGAGGTGTCTGCCTCAGTCAGACCCCAGCTCCCTGGGAAGACCACCACACCCACCGAGAGCCCCCCAGGAGAGGCGGCAGCCAGAAGGAGAAGTGGGCTGAGGGTGCTAGATGGGCCAGCAGGGAGGCGGGCACTGGGCTCTGCCTGGAAGGACGCAGCCCTCCCAGGTCCAGGAGGTCCTGCCCATCTTTCCATCCACCCGTATCCCCAGGCCCAGCCTGTATTTGAACAGTATAGAGCACTCAGACTCAGTCAAAAACAGTTTGGACACTACAAGATCTTGCAGAAAAAAGAATAAGAGTTCAAAGTGAGGCCCCTGAAGCCAGCCAGACCTGGGTTTAAATCCTGTTTACCAGCTGTGTGACCTTGGGAAAGTCACTTAACCTCTCTGTGCTTCAGTTTCCTCCTCTGGAAAATGAGGATCAGAACAGTACTGAGTCTTAGGGTTGTGATATATGCAAAGCTCTCAACACAGTCCTCAGCCCCTAAGGGTTTGCTATTATCATCATCATAGAGAGAGAAGTGTAAATGGATATGTCTACTGAAATTGCATTCATTCATGCAACAAGCATTTATCGAGCACCTACTGGTGCTCGTGGAGGGGACCCAGCAGTGAGCAAGGCTCTCAGTCCTGGTCCTCTGTGGGCCATGATGACTGAGGCTGTTTGGGTGTGGCTAGGTGATGCTAAGTGTGGGTGCCTCCCGTCAAGCCACTGCCCTGTAGGCAGAGGAGCAGGTGGGCGCGCCGGCCCTGCCCACCACACCCAGCCTTACCCAGAACGTGCTCAGCTCCGTGACTTGGCATATTCCTGGGGCGGGGCGGGGAAGGTGGAGGGCGGGGAGCAGACTCGTAAATATAAGGCCTCTGGGCTCCTGCCCACTTCCTGCTGCACTTGCACTTCGCCGCCGCCAGTGAGTAGGGTCTGGACCAGGTGGGGGGTGGGGCAGGCCGAGCTACCTCCTCTGCTGGGGGTCTGACCCCGAGGCTGCCTGCCCCTTGGCCCTGCAGCCCCGCGGGGGGGTCCGCCTTCATCGTTCCATCCGTCTCTCCTAGTGCCGCCCTACACCATCGTCTACTTCCCCGTCCGAGGTGCGGACCCTGCTCCTTCAGGAGGGCGAAGGGCACAGACCGGGTCCAGGCCGGACGCTCAGGCTGACCGCAGGGCGGGGCCAAGGAGGGAGCCGGGATGCGGGGGCGGGGCCGGGACCTCGAGGGCGGAGTCCGGGATCTCGGGGGCGGGGCCGGGATCCGCTTTCCCGGTGGCTGCCTCCTCGTGAGCCACCGGCGCTGCACCCTATCCATGTGTCTCTGTTCTCTTCCTGGCGCTCTGTGTGTCTCCGCCCCGTCCTCTCTTCCAAGCCAGTGTTGAGGCCGTGGTCTCCACTCTTGCCCTGAGGTCCATCCCCTCCCCAGAATGCCTCCTGGGGTTTCGGTCCTATCCCTGTCTACCTTCCCCATCCTCCTGACCCTTCCCCAGGGTGCTGTGAGGCTGGGGTCTCTGCCCATCCCCACACCCCCGTCTCTGCGCCGCAGGGCGCTGCGAGGCCATGCGCATGCTGCTGGCTGACCAGGGCCAGAGCTGGAAAGAGGAGGTGGTGACCAAAGAGACCTGGCTGCAGGGCCCACTCAAGGCCTCCTGTGTGAGTGGCTGTGCCCAGGCAGGGGGCAGGTGCTGGGCCTTTGGGGGCAGAATTAGGATGGGGGACAGCTGAGCTCAGCGTCCCTCACTGAGCCGTGTCACCTCCCAGCTGTACGGGCAGCTCCCCAAGTTCCAGGACGGAGACCTCACTCTGTACCAGTCCAATGCCATCCTGCGACACCTGGGCCGCTCCCTCGGTGAGTCCTGAGGTCGCAGGCCTCCCAGTCCAGAAGAGTACCTGACGGTTTCCGGCAGGATGTCCCGGGGCCAGAGCTGTTGTACCTGCAGCCGCTAGGGTCCTGCCTGGCTGGAGGGCAGGCCAGATGGCCCTAAGGGAAGGGGCAGGATTTGGGGTAGGGGGGTTCTGGCTTATGGGGCTGAGGCTGCCAGTCCACCTGGGCAGAGGTCGTGCAGCTCGGGCTAGCTCCAGCCACGTAGTCCCAGATGGGTTCGCTGTGCCCATTTCCCAGACAACAGCTCGGAGGAGGCCGCTGGCACCCACGTGTGTGCTGGTACAGGCTAGAGGCCACTGCGGGTCTGGCCAGGGCATTCCAAGTAGACCTCCTGCCTATTTCTTCCTTTTCTGGCCTGAATCTGGAAAACCCATGGTCACAGGGAGCAGACCTGTGGCCTTGTTTCAAGGGTGGCAGGAACATGGCTTAGGGAGGTGGCTGCCTCTTCTTTGCCCAGCTTGGGGCGTCCAGAAAAGCCCCAGGTCCCAGGAGGACGTGGCAACTGGAGAAGGGGGCAGAGGAGCAGTGGGAGCCCGCAGGCTCAGGCCCCCCCTAACTTCTGCAGGATCCAGGGCAAGGACAGAGGCCTCCGGCCGCAGCCTGCCACCTACTCTTCCCCCCCCTGGGCTGTCCTGCACTGCCTGTGGCCCCGCCAGCCCACACAGCCAAGTTCTGTCCAGGCCCTACAAACAGCCACCCCTCGGGCCTAGGGAGGCAGGCACCAGAGACTTGGTCCCCTCTTGCAGGGGACAGAGCTGGCAGACGGGGCTTGGGTCTTGGGTCATCTGGCCAGGGAATTTCCACGTACCAGGGACCAGGGGTGTGGCCTAGGAGTCAGGCGTGGGCTTCAGCTGGGTATGTCCCCTTGGACTTGTGGAGATGGGGCAGCAGAGTTAGGCAGAGCGGGGCCTCCAAAATGAGGGAGCTGGTTGCCCAGGCCTGAGACTGAGGGCTTTTGAAAGAGAGAGCAGCGTGGGGTACCAGCCCAGCCAGAACCTGACCCGCTGCTTGGCCACTGACCCAGGCCTCTACGGCAGAGATCAGCGGGAGGCGGCGCTGGTGGACATGGTGAACGACGGTGTGGAGGACCTCCGTAAGCGCTGTAGCCACCTCATCCACCATGACTATGTGAGTGGGGGGGGCCGCGGCTGGCGCTCAGGGCTGGGGGTGCAGCCGGGAAGGTCATCTGGCCAGGCATGCCGTGTGCCGCCAGCTGAGATCACTCCCGTTTGCAGGAGGAGGGCAAGGCCCGGTATGTTCAGGAGCTGCCTGGGCACCTGAAGCCTTTTGAGACCCTGCTGGCCCAGAACCAGGGAGGCCAGGCCTTCATCGTGGGTGACCAGGTGAGCACTAGGTCCAGCCCATTGTGGGTCCATTTCTCAGATGGGCACACTGAGGCCCAGAGGCAGGCCATGACTGGCTCATTGGCTCCCCGCGACCCCACGCTCTCCTCTCCCCACTCAAGCCCCTCGTGCCCCCTGTCCTGCAGATCTCCTTTGCTGACTACAACCTGCTGGACTTGCTGCTGAGTCACCAGGTTCTGGCCCCTGGCTGCCTGGACTCTTTGCCCCTGCTCTCGGCCTACGTGGCACGCCTCAGCGCCCGGCCCAAGCTCAAGGCGTTCCTGGCCTCCCCCGAGCACGTGAACCGCCCTGTCTTTGGAAGCCGCAAGATATGAGCCGGCTCGGCCTCCCCAGGAGAGGTTCGCCCTTGGGAACCAATAAACACAGGGAGAAGAAGCCGTGCTGTGGTCACCAAGCCGCTGGGTGGGCACAGGGGACCCTCCGCCCCTGCCCAGGTCTCCTCGGGGAGGATGTAGGCTGGGTGGGCATCTGGGCCCTGGAACAGCGTTAGGCCCCCCAAGCTGCCAGGAGACAAAGAGGAGCTCCCGGCTCAGGGAGGAAGGTGGGACTTCAGGCCTCCAGGAGGACGGCCTTTGACCCCACCAGTGCTCATAGTTATAGCACCTGGGGGAGCCCTCTCCGTCTGAGACGAGGCGGCCGTGAGTGTCACTGACTGATGGTCCCTGCCGTGTGTCCGTCCGTGTGATGAATCCCATCAGGCACGCGGCAGGGTGGTTTCGGGATGGTCTCTGCACACTCAGACGTTGTGCACACATGCACACTTGGGAGTGACACACACTTGAGTGTTTCACACGCACATCCATGTTGCCCGTTCTCGTGTGTTACCCATGGTCACAGACACCCAGACACCCTTAGCGGGTGCAGCAGGCAGCCAGCAGGGCCCAGGGGTGGGGGGCCCCAGGCAGGCCTGGAGCTCTGGGCGGTGTCCACTGCTTGGGGACCCAAGGGAGGTCAAGGGTCTCCCTCAGCTCCAGGGAGCCTCTGTGAACCCCTCGTGACAGCGCCCAGTCCCAGCCCTTGCTCCCTCCTGAGGGGCTGCAGCCACCTCCTGCCTGGCCCCCCAGCCTGCCTGGCACCTCCTGCAGGCTCGCTGGGCATCAAGGAGTCAGACAATTCCAGAATGCCTGGCACTCTCCGTGCAAACTTCTCAGTGGATACTCTATGCCCTCTAGGTAAAGTCCGCAGCCTGCCAGGCCCTCCTCGATATAAATTCCCCGTCTCCAGAACATTCCCCACCCTCCCTGCCCAGTTCACCCTTAGAGCCCCACTGTGCTTCTCTCAGCTTCCCAGACAGCCTGGCTCTGCCCCTCCAGCCTTTGTCCCTGTGACCCCCTCTGCCCAGCTCTCTCCTACTCACCCACCCACCCACCTGCCGGTGGCCACACCCCTTCAGTGCTCCCTTCGCTGTCCCTCTGGCAGTGGCCCAGGTGACCTGGCACTTTGGCCTCTCCCTCAGCTCTACTCTCCCCTGCCCCCAGGTGGGAAGGCTGACTTACCTTTACCCATCAGGCAATGGGGGTGCCAACACCAAGAGCTGACTCTTTTTTTTTTTTTTAAAGATTTTATTTTTTTCCTTTTTCTCCCCAAAGCCCCCCGGTACATAGTTGTATATTCTTCGTTGTGGGTCCTTCTAGTTGTGGCATTGGGATGCTGCCTCAGCGTGGTTTGATGAGCAGTGCCATGTCCGCGCCCAGGATTTGAACCAACGAAATGCTGGGCCGCCCGCAGCGGAGCATGCAAACTTAACCACTCGACCACGGGGCCAGCCCTCAAGAGCTGACTCTTTATGGCCCACATACTACTACCTCCGGGCGTCAGTGGTGCACTGATCACAGGCCTGTTGCCCCTACTCCATGGGAGTTATCTCATCTGTCCCTCTCAAGGGAGGAAGCTGAAATTCAGAGAGGTGAGGCAACTGGTCCAAAGCCACACAGCTCATAAATGAGAGAGCTAGAATTCAAACCCAGCTCTGAGTGACTCCCAGACTTATGGGTGGTCCTTAGAAAGGGAAGGAGGGAGGGGGTTGGGGGCCAGAGAAGAAAGCAGGAGACCAATCTCAGGGGCAAAAATGACCCAGGCATGGGCAGGAGCCAGAGGCTGGCAGAGGCTCCTCGGCGGGTGGAGTGGCCAGGGGCACTGGCGTCTGCTGTGGGGGCCTTTCCTGCTGGACTAAGGACTTGGAGTTGATTCCCAGGGCGCTGGGGAGCCACTGCAGGCTTTTGAGCAGGAAAGAAGACATGAAAGAGGACTTTTAGGAACCTTAGACTGAGTCCTCAGGAGCCCTTGAGCGTCACCTAACTCAACACCCTCGCCTTACAGATGGGTAAACTGAGGCCTGGAGAGGGAAATGGGCTTCCCAGCCTCACTGAGCAAGTGGGTAGGTGGGCCAAGATGATGTCGTGGGTCCGAAGCTGCCAGGCCTCCAGCCTGGCTGCTCAAAGGAGCCTCTGCCTGCAGGACCTCGAGCAGAGGCCCTGTGACGAGGGGCACTGGGTTTGGGGGCTGATGGGCAGTTTTGATTTCCAGAGGAGGAGAGCTGACCTCTTTGGGTGGGATGCCCTGGGAAGGGCCCGTTGGTCCCCAAGAGGAAAGTGGTGGCACCCTGAAGCACCCACCGCCCTGGAGGCGGAGTCTGCTGCCTCGGGGTCCCCTGTCCTGGTGGCTTTCACCACGCTGCCCCAGGGAGACTGTGGGGTAGGGCTGAGGCCTGCAGCCACATGGCCTGTGAGTGCCCTGGTCCTTGTCCCCAAGCCTTCAGCAGAGCGTGTTCAGCTCCCAGCCCGCCCCCACCTGATGCAAGCAGGGCAGGCAGCCCGGCCTGCACCTCCCCACGGGGAGTGCGGAACCTCAGGCCACAGAGGCCCACCACGCAGGCAGACAGGACAGGGGCCGTGGGAGGCCACAGAGCAGGCCTGGGGGACACTCGGGCATCCCGCAGGTCCCAGGGTGGCAGGAGGAAGTTGCTCTTTTGAAAGTTTCCTGCAACCAACTGCTTCCACATTCTTCGGGGTGACTGGGCATCTTGAGTGCGCTGCTCCGGGACCCCAAGAAGGTGGATGGAGGAGGCTCCCGGCAGCTGAGAGGGGCGCCCCGGGGAGTGGCTGGCCCCGGCGTGGGTGGCGGGGGACTGGTGTGAGCTGGCGCAGCAATGCGTGGGGTGACAGGATGGCTAGGTCAGGGAGAGGCTGAGAGCTCTCCAGGTGGAGAGGAGACAGGTGACCCCTGGGCTTCCTCCAAGCAATGCCCCCAGTACTTTACATACCTTAACTCACTTAACCCTCACAAAGGAACCCACCTGGTAGATGCTATTAATATCCCCATTTTACAGAGGAGGAAACTGAGACACAGAGAGGTGAAGCAACCTTCTCAAGGACACACAGCTGATTAAGAGGCCGAGCGAGGATTTGAACCCAGGCTCTCTGGCTCTGGAGCCTGTGCTTGTAACCACTCTGCCATAGGTCGTGGCTTGAGCCACTATTTTTTATATTCTGGTACAGTGACGGCAGGAGGCTGGTAATTCTGGTGACCTCCTAATTCTGTGGGGCACAGGAACCCCAAGAGAAAGGTTGGGCTTCCAACCTATCAGGACGGGAGTGGAAGTGGGGCTGGTTCCAGCTGGAAGGTCGGGACATTTAAAGACTGGTGACTTGGTCTGCTCCCCAGCTGGGGAGGTGGGACGTGCCAGATACAGATTAAATGCTCCATCCTCCAGGGAGGCTCTTGGGTCAGAAGGGGGCCAATCAGTTCACCCAAGTGTTTGCCCTTTGGTGGCAGCTCTGAGACTCAAGGGTCTCCCCTGGGGTACCAGCCCGGGGAGTGTGGGGGTGAGGAGTGCAGGCATAGAACCCAAGGATTTGGGTCAGGTCTCAGCCTGCGGGCCTCGCTCCCCAGCCACACCATCCAGCAGCCGGGAGGCTGCAGGGACTTTGGCCCCATCCCTCCCAGCCTCACCTCCTGCCTCTACCACCCTCTCCCAGCTCTGTCAAGGTCCTCGATGGCTCTGGCTTGGGCTCCACCCCCGTGACCCTCTTTCCTGCCCTGGTCCAGGGAGCAACTGGAGGTTGGGACCCCTGGCTGCCTTTACCCAGATGTGCAAGCTTGGACAAGTGGCCGACCCTCTCTGGGCCTGTTTCCTCTTCTGACATCCCCGGCAGTCACAAAGTGCCACACTGTTTACCTCCTGTGGGTCAGACACTTGGCAGGTCTTAAGACTCATTTTACAGATGAGAAAACTGAGGTCACAGCTGGAATTTGCACCCAGGCAGGCTGACTACCAAGCCTGCCTTCTTCCCCAGATGGCCCCAGAAAATGCTCTCAGTTGCGTTCCGGACAAATTCTGGACGAAAGGAGTGGTTATTTAAAACGTTAACGTTAGTTAAATGTTAAATATCCTGATTGAAATCAAGTTGAAACCACAGGAATTTTAGAAGCTAGAGCAGAGGTCACGCCCAGCCCCTGGCCTGCTTTGCCGTTTGCCTCCACGGCCCGGAGAGGCTGGAAACCAGCTCAGCGACGTGCGAGGATGGAATCGGGATGAGCATGTGCACCCGGCAGTCTCCTCTCGCCGAACCATGGAGATGTTTACCCCCAAGAACCGCCCAGTGTTTGTCTGGGAGACGTTTTTGGCAATGAAAGCACATTTGAGCTCCAAACATTCCTGCTGGGAAACTTTGGATGGGGTGGGAGGGGAGCCTGCATTTCCAGATGGGATTTTCTGCCATGAGGTCAGGAAGAGAGCCCTGAGCCCTGCGTGTCTGAATGTTGTTTGCTGCCCCTTCGGCTTGTTTTCGTGAGCCTCGTTCTCTCCCAGGGGAGAAAATAAAACAAAGACATTTGGCTCACTGCTCGGCTGAATCTGCAACTGGATTCTGGCTCAGAAGTGTGTCAACAATGAAAAGGTGGTGGCTTCTCAAAGATTCAGGCTCAGTATGTGTAAGTCTTCAAATAGACCTGCTGTTAGGCCACCCCTGTGGAAACTCTCAGAAGTTACCATTTTGAGAGTTCGAAGCACTTGCTTTTTCCTGTTATTCCAAAAATAGGGCAACTGTGACTTTGGGTCACAAATCCAGCCAGGGCAGCGTTTCACACACGGCTGGACTGGCCGCCCAGCTCTAGCCTGGCAAGGTCTGTGTGCATCTCTTCCTGCACCCCCTGCAGCCCCCATCGTCCCCTGCTGGGACCCTGCTCCAGACACATGTGACCCGAGTCCAGCCAATCAGCGAGCCGTGGCCTCAGCCCCAGCTCTTGGTCCAGGGGGTGGGCACGTGAACGGCAGAGCTGGGTCCATCCTCTGACTCATCACAGACAGCAGCTGGAGAGGCACCAGGGCCCCTCTGACACCAGAGCCGTCTTTTCTGTTCAAGAGGCTGTGAGGATTTAAATCCAGGCAGACTGGGGTTGGTTATAGTTGAGAGAGTGGAGCCCATGCACAAAGAAAAGCATGCCCATGCGTGTGTGTGAGAGACAGAGAGATTTTAGGTCCCTGGTTCTAGTCCCTGAGAGGCCAGCTCCACTCTTTGGTCATATGACCCCAGAAATGCCTCCTTTTGGAGATAAGTTTCTGTGACTTCTGCTGAAAGGGAGTGATAGCTTCAAAATAAATCCTTTGACAATTTTCCCCTGAAAATTTGGAGCCTAATTCCCACCCTTTGAGTGCAGCTAGACTCAGTGACTTGCTTCTAATCACAGGTGTGGTGGAAGCCATGATGCACGGCTTCCAAGACTGGGTCCCGAAAGGCACTGTGGCTTGCTGCTTGCCCCCTCTCTTGGATCACACGTGCTGGGAGAAGCCAGCCACCACGTCAGGAGGCCCCTCAAGCAGCCCTGTGGAGAGATTCAGGTGATGGGGGACGGAGGTTTCCTGCCAAAGCCAGCCCTGATCACTGTCTGTGTGAGCGAGCCATCTCAGGAGGGAATCTTCCGGCCCCAGTCAAGCCTTCGGATGTCTGAGCCCCAGGTACCCCCTTGATTGCAGCCTCACGAGAGACTGCATTAACCGTGTCTTTTATGTTCTGTATTCTGAAGCGCTGACATCTGGGGCCTTGCTGACTCTGGAGGGACTAGTTAAGTCCTAGAGATGGTAAACAACCTTCCTGCCAGTGTGCCTTCCAAATATAAACCAACCAATTCAGAGTCCATACCCCCTACATTATTGGGCTCTCACACTCAGGACCGCTGTCCCCTGCCCTAACCACCCCAAGGCCAGGTACTCGATGACTAGGGATAGCCCCTATGCCCCAGAGCCCACCGAAATTATCCAAACTAGCCAATCTTAAGCCTGCTTCCCCTGCTTTGCCCACTCCTTTCTGTGGGAGCCACAGTAAAGGCTCCTGCCCACACTTCTCCCTCTGCCTCCAGATTGACCCTGGTGCTTCCCCATGCGGCCCCCGTGTCTTTGGCCTGCCCCATTCTCTTGGGATCTGTGAGTCACAAACTGTCTTTTCAATGGTGGTTTCCTCCTGATCTCTTGGCCTTGCTGTACCTAAATGACAAGGGAGCCTGTATTTAAAACAAAGACCCCATGCAACAACTACTCAGCCAAACCACGCCAGAGTTCCCTGCTGAATTCTCAGGGCAGTGCCTGGCACTTAGCAGGTGCGCGAGAAATATCTGTTGAAGGAGGAGGGTATCCACTGCTCTTGGCAGCATCCTCGGGTCAGATCTTGGAGCCCAGTTTCTCCCTGGGTGAGCTGTCCTGGCCACTGCACTCCCTGGTTTTGCCTCAGGAGGGTGCCAGAACCCTGGCATCTGGCTTGGGGGCAGCCAGGACTGGGTCTGGGGCCCTGCCTTGGAGAGGTGCTCCCCACTGACGCAGGCTTTGCACCTGACAGGTCCCTGCCTGGGGAGTCTGAGGGTGTGTGTCAGGAGGAAGGAGGGAAAATCCTCGTCTGGGCCTTTGTCCTGACCCCAGCTTCTCCCACACTGGGACGGAGCTCACTGGCTCCCTGGTAGGTGCGGGGATGGCTCTCGAGGATGGTGCTTCCTGATTGGACCCAGAGCACGCAAGAACCCTCGATCCCAGGAGCCAGGCTTGGGAAGCAGAGATTCCAGGAGCAGAAAAGGCATCTGGGAATATCCCAGGGGAGATGGGGAGGACCAGAAGGACCTTCCCTCTGCGGAAGCTGGCCCGATGGGAGGAGGAGAGGCTGCGGCTCCTCCTCGGGGGCTTGGGGGTGCAGGGAAGGGCTGGAGCTGCAGGGAAAGGCTCAGAGCTGCTGGGAAGGGCTCCGAGCTGCAGGGAAGGGCTCAGAGCTGCAGGGAAAGGCTCAGAGCTGCTGGGAAGGGCTCAGAGCTGCAGGGAAGGGCTGGAGCTGCAGGGAAAGGCTCAGAGCTGCTGGGAAGGGCTCAGAGCTGCAGGGAAGGGCTCAGAGCTGCAGGGAAAGGCTCAGAGCTGCTGGGAAGGGCTCAGAGCTGCAGGGAAGGGCTGGAGCTGCAGGGAAAGGCTCAGAGCTGCTGGGAAGGGCTCAGAGCTGCAGGGAAGGGCTCAGAGCTACAGGGAAGGGCTCCGAGCTGCGAGCATGGCTCAGCCCAGGACCAGGCAGGCAGAGCATGAACGACCGCTGGCATTGACTAAGCACTTGCTATGTGCCAAGTGCCATCTCATTTAATCCTCACAGCTTGCCCTCACTCTGCAAGGAATGAAAGTGAGGCAGAAGGAGGTTCTAAGTACTAAAGCCACGGTCCTTGAGAGTACAGAGGAGCTGGGTCTTGACCCAGTCTGCTGGCGCCAGACTGGGCTCTTGCCCCTGACGCCTCAGATGGGAGAGTGTAACATGAGTGCTGTGAGGGGGACCTGCTTTCTTCCTGATTTCTCCGGTCATTGAAGGGCCACTCAGCTGGAGACCCTAACTGCGTCTTCCAGGCTTCCAGCAATGCAGGTGGTGTGCAGCCAGCCCTGGAGAGCGTGCACGGGGCTGGGGAAAGGAAGGTGAGAGTCAGCGGTGCCTGTGGTCCCCACCTTCCCCAGGGTATGGTCCTGGCACCGAGGGCACACAGACCCGGAAGAGCTTCGCTGTCACCAACTGGCCCTGCTCCAGCAAGGCTAGCGATGAAAGCCCTTCTGGAGTTTCCGGTTACTCTGGGAGGTTTGGGGAGATTATTCTGAGCACTAAATCGCTAAATGAGCTCACCCAGATTATCAGGTTAGGCGGGTTCGCCACAAAGGAGGTGGGCAAGACCCTGGAGTGCCAGGAGTCCAGCGCCTGCTCCTGCCTCCCTACCCTCTGGGTAAGTGTGGGGTGAAACCAGCCGCCCTTTGTGCCCTGGGGAGCTGGGGATCAAGCCCCTGGCTTACCCTTTGTGCCCACATGGAGCCCAAGCCCTCGGTCATGCTGCACATGGCAGGACAGTGGGCACAAGGTGACACTGGATCAGAAAGGGACAGAGGCCAAGAGCTTTCACCAGCACCAGCATAAAGTGGAGCTCCGAGCCTAAAATGGGCCATTATCGACAACATTCAGTGAAGCATGACCCCGTACCTGAGGTCCGCCAGATGCCCGGGGCAGTCACAGAAATCGGCCAGTCCTCAGCGAGGCCACTGGGGCTCATTCTCCTCGCCCACTGCGGGCTGCTGAACCCGCCCTGGGGAGGGGCGCAGGGCAACCTGGGGCTCTCAAGGGCTTGAACGTGCCCCTGAGCAGGTGGCGTTGGTTTGGGGACTGCCACCCCCTGAGCCTCCCTGAGTCCCTGCCCACCGAGGTGTCAGCTCCTGGTGCTGGGTGACGGCGGGGGAGCAGGGAGGCACTGCTGTGTCCCAGGTCCTGTAATTTCCTGCTTCACCCCCTTGTTTGGGTGGAGCAAGAATTTCACATGAATTCCTAAGGTGTGGCATTGACTTGTAACTGGGCTGAGTGTATATTCGAGATTGGGAATCTTTCCCTGTGACCTGAAAGCCTACGGCTTCGTGGTCTTTGTACCCCCACCCTTCAATACGGGACGCTTAAGGCCATCTGATTCCACCCTTCTCTATGCAGCCTGGTTTTTTCTCTAGAGAAGCTTTGAGGGTCTTCTTTTTATTCTTGGTGTTCTAAAACTTCTCAGCTGTGAGTGTAGGTGTGGGTCTTTTTCTCTTCATTTTCCAGGATCCTGGAGGTCTTGCAATCCAGAGACGTGTGTCCTTCCGCTCACAAAATCCTCGCACGTTATCTCTTGGAGAATTTCACTTTCTCTGTTCTCTCTGTTCGTTGGATGTCAAACCTCTTGGTTTCGTTTTCCATGTCTCTTTGTCTTCTTCCCTTTATTTTTACCTCTTCTTAAAATATTGGAAAATGTCTTTTATATTCCAACCCTTCAGTGAGATTTTTATTTTGGCAATCATTCTGAATTTGTAGGAATTCTTTCTTGTGTGTTTTTCAGTTTGCCCAGCTGGGGAGATGCTGTGCCCCATGGCCCAGAACCATTCCTTTCCGAACCAACATGTAATGGCACGTTCACCTGATACGCATGCACATGCGCCCTGATTAAGCACAGCTGGTCCCCAGTTGTAACAAACAAACCTGCTATCCTCTGCTCTCTTGTGTATAAACTCTCCATCAGCACTGAGCTTGGGGAGACGGCTGTTTTTGGCAAATATCCCCCGTGTTCTCCATTGCTTGTGCAAGCAATAAACCTTTTCTTCACCTACTTCTGCCTTGGTTGTGCTTTTCGGCTGTGCACTCACCAAGAGAGGAACCCGCTGAATTTGGTTACAATGTGGGAGCACTCCCCAGTGATATAGGACTGTCTGGAAATTTCTGGCAAGAACCCTAGGAAGTGGTGCACTTAAGCTGCTAGGGTGGCTCTTAGTAGCAGTGCCCACACTAAGTGAGGTGGCAATGCCAGAACTGCCAGGCTCGAGGGTGGAAGGTGCAAGAAAAAGGCTCAGAGAAGTAGGCATGCTAGAATGGATATTCTGTGCAAGGCCAAGGCCGGAAACCCCACACTTATCAAAGCAGAAAGGCATGCACCGGCCGGAGAGCCCCAGCAGCACAATCAGAGCGGCAGCCCCGGTCCTGACCCTCTTAGAGAGGTATGGAGATGCTGAATAGAGCTCAGTGCTTCTAGGGGCAAAATGGGTGGTCAACCAACACGATTAGTGCCCAATCCGGACCACTCGAAGAAGTCAAGTGTAGGTGATCAGGGACTCTGGGAAGGTGGCCCAACAAAGGTCATGACCCCATGTCCAGTTTGCAGAGCTGAACCAGTTTTCAGGCACAGACTCATTGATGAAAGGCAAACGAGCTCCCCAGACTCTGAGTGACCATTCAGTGAGGCCCACCCAGGCATTTAGAACATGACCAGGAATTCTTCGTTTTTAGGAGGAAGTTTGGCTGTTCTTGGAGTTCTGAGTAACAAGATAGTAAAACTAGTTTCTTGTCTCAGCCAGGGCTGGGGTCCAAATGTTGGGACTGCTATGATGCTTGCCAAGTATGCCCACACTGAGCGAGGTGCTGGACCCACACAGCACGTGCCAAGAGACCAACTGACCTATTTGGCCACCGTTAGCTCATCACCCATCTCAAGGATACAGAATTATTGAGGTTAAAGAGACAGAAAGTGTGAAAGTGTTTGGAGAATGTGCTCTGGCTCCTAATCCTTACCCTTGGAGGTGGTGAGTGGTGAGAAGCTAGGACACGGCAGAAGAGAATGTCATTTGATTTTTTTTTTTAAAGATCTAGTAATGGTTGTCTAGAGAGACCCCTGGTCCTTGTCAAGTCAGCTAATCTATGATGGGGTAACAAATAAACATTGAAATCTCAATGGCTTAACAAAATAAAAATTTATTTCTCACTCACGTCACAGTTTAATGCAGACTGAGCTGCAATCCTGGGTTGTTCTCTTCCAGACAGCAACTCACAGACCCAAAATTTTTCCATCTGTAGTTCCACTGTTCTGTGGGGCCTTCTTGGGGCCCTCCAACAGTCTCAAGGCAAAGAATAAAGAGAGTGACAAGCAGCAAGGAGGACTGTGTGGGACATTTTAAAGCCATGCCTAAAAGTGGCAGACGTCACTTCTGCCCACATTTCACTATCGAGAACCCAGTCACCTGGCCTCAACCTAGCTGCAAGGGAGCTAGGAAATGTAGTTTTTCAGAATGCCCAGAAAAAAAGAAATGAGATTGGTGAACATATATGCAGTTCATTCCACACACATTTACAATAGAAAGTAAAACGGTCTTCATTCACAGAAGACGTGATTACTTACATGGAAAATCCTCCAACATCTATAAAACAGCTAGAACTAATACATGAGTATAGCAAGGTCACAGATTACAGGGTGTATACACAAAACTCAATCACAAGTCTGTATGCTAGCAACAGTGTTTGTAAAAGGAAATTTAAAAAACAATTGCAAATCTTAAAGAAGCTTAAAAAAAGCTACTAGATTTAACATGTGAATTTTTCGAGGTCACATAATACAAACTCAATATACAAAAATCAGTTGTATTCATATATACCAGCAACAAAAAAAAGGAAAATAAAATTTTAAATACATCGTTTACAGTAGTATCAAAATCTGTGAAATACTTGGAGATAAACTTAACAAATTTTACAGAAGATGTGCTCCGAAAACTATAAAACGTTAGTAAGAGAAATTAAAGAAGACCTACATAAATGGAGAAATGTATTAATGTTGTCAAGATGTCAACTTTCCCTAAATTGAATTAGAGATTAAACGGAATCCCAGTGGAATCCCAAATTGATTCCAAAATTTATACGGAAAATCAAAGGAATAGACTAGCCAGAAAGATTTTGAAAAAGAACAAAGTTAGCAAACTCCCATTACCTGATTTCAAGACATAAAACTACAGAAACAAATATAGTGTGGTACTGGTAAAAGGATTGATACACAGATCAAGAGAACAGAACAGAGTCCAGAAGTAGACTACATATATACGCTCAAGTGATTTTTGATAAAGCTGCAAAGATGAGTCAATGAAGAAAGGATAGTCTTTCAACAAATGTGCTGGAACAACTGGACATCTGTATGCAAAAAAATGAACTTCAACCCATACTTCGCATCATATATAAGATTCAAAATGGATCATAGACATAAATGTAAAACTCCAAACTACAAAATTTCTAGAAGAAAGTATAAAATAAATCATGTGTTAGGCAAAGATTTCTTAGACACAAAAACATACTCCATAAAAGAAAAAATTGGTAAATTTTACTTCATTAAAATTAAAAACTTAAAAAAATCAAACTCTGTTAAGAAAGTGAAAAGACAAACCATAGGCTGGGAGAAAACATTTAAAAACCCATATCTGATAAGGACTTAGAGTTTATGAAGAATTGTCAAAACTCAATAATAAGAAAACAAACAAGTCAACTGAAAATGGGCAAAAGATTTGAACAGACACTTCAACAAAGAAGATATATCGATGGCAAATAAGCACATGAAAAGATGCCCAACATCATTAGTCATTAAAGAAGTGCAAATTAAAATCACAATGAGGTAACAATATAAACCTATTAGAATGGCTAGGAAAAAAGCTGACAATATTAAGTGCTAACAAGGATTGACAGCAACTGGAATTCTTATATAGTCATGTGCTGCACAATGACATTTTGGTCAACAATGGACTACATAGACAAAGGCGCTCCTATAAGATTAGTACCATATAGCCTAGGCATGTAGTAGGCTATACCATCTAGGTTTGTGTAAGTACACTCTATGATGTTCACACAACAATGAAATTATCTAACGATGCCATTCTCAGAACATGTCCACATCATGAAGTGATGCGTGACTGTACACCATTGGCGGGAATGTAAAATGGTACAGCCACTTCGGAAAATAGTTTGGCAATGTGTTATAAGGTTAAAGAAACACTTACCATATGACCTAGCAATCGTTCTCTTAGGTATTTTCCCAAGACAAATGAAAACTTATGTTCACATGAAAACCTGCATGCAAATATTTAAGGCAGCTTTATCCATAATCACCAAGAACCCAAATGACCTTTGACTGGTGACTGGAGAAACAAACTATGTACATCCATACAATGGAATACTATTCAGCAATGAAAAGGAAAGAACTGCAGGCAGACGCAAGAGCAGGGATGAATCTCAAATGCACTCTGTTAAGCGAAAAAAGCCAGACTCAAATGCTATATACTGTATGATTCTGCTTCTGTGGAATGAAAAAGACCAAACTATAGGTAAAGAAAGCAGATCAGTGGTTACCAGGGGCTAAAGATAGGGGGAGAGGCTGAGTACAAAGCGGCACATGGGAAATTTGGGGACGATAGAAATGTTCTATATCTTGATTGTAATGATGGCTTTTGTCAAACTCACAGAACTGTATGCTAAAAAGGATAAATTCTACTAAATGTAAAGCACACCTCAATCAAATTTTTTTCTTTTGAGGAAGATTAGCCCTGAGCTAACTGCTGCCAATCCTCCTCTTTTTGCTGAGGAAGACTGGCCCTGAGCTAACATCCATGCCCATCTTCCTCCACTTTATATGTGGGACACCTACTACAGCATGGCATGTTAAGCAGTGCCATGTCCGCACCCGGGATCCGAACTGGCGAACCCTGGGCTGCTGAAGCAGAACATGAGAACTTAACCACTGCACCACCAGGCCGGCCCCTCAATAAATTTTTTTTAAATGTTATATTAAGTGAAAGAAGCTAGATACTTACCGATTGCATTTATGTGAAGTTCAAGAAGAGGCAACACTAATCTATGGTGATAGAAATCAAAGCAACGGGTGTCTACGGAGGATGAGTATCAACTGGCAGGGGCCTGAGGGGACTTTCCAGGCGATGGATGTGTTCTGTAACTCGATTGGCTGGTGGTTACACAAGGACATACATTTATCAAAATGCATCATATTTTACTCTTAAAAATCTGTACATTTTTACTGAATATAAATCACTTAAAATTTTTAAGGGTACAGAAACATTAAAAGATAAAAAAGATAGGAAAAAGTCCTAGTGAACATGACTAAAAAGAAGCCAGTGTAGGAACCTTGATATGTGAAAAATATAATTCAAGGCTAAAAGTCACAATGAACAAACAAGGATTTATATGCTCACAAAAGGTACAATAGACAAAGAAGATATATGCACCTAACAATATAGCTTCAGATCATATCAAGTAAAAACTGGTAGAACCCCAGGGAGCTATAGATAAAACAATAATAATACTATATGTCTCTCCTATATTGATAGAACAAACATACAAAAGGAATAAATGTCAAAGGTATGAACAATTATCTACACCCAACAGAAAATGAACGTTTTTTTCTTTTTGCAGTACCTCTGAACATTCACAAAAATAAGCTATGGCCTAAGCCATAAATAAAACCTCAGTAAATTATAATGGATAAATATGAGACTAATTATATTCTCTGACCATAATGTAATAAGATTAGAAACTAAAAACAAGAGAAATAGAAGCTTCTCCCAATTTAAATTGATAAAAATTATCTCAAAATTAAGACTCAAATCAGGATAGCTTAGAAGTTCCATATGTTTAGAAATTAAATGATATATCATTAAAAAATCCTTGAGTTAATGAGGAAATCACAAAGGAAATATGTATATTTGAATGAAGAGAATCATTACATGTTGAAAGTGGCAGAACACAGCTAAAGTGTATTTTGAGGAAAATTTATAGCTTTAAATATATTTA